CGCGGAGCGGAGCGATATTCTATCCGCTCGCAGGGCACAGTTTGTCGCCGTGGCCGCCGCCGCGACATGCCATCCCAGTATGTTCGCGTGGCGTTGTTTCGGTGAGCCGGGGGGCCGAACGACATCTGGGCGCCGACCCAGGCAGAGAAGCGGGCCGCGTGCGGTCGAGACGTGGGCCGCGTGCGGCTGGGAGCGGGCCCTGCAGAGGAGGCATCGGCTTGTGTCCGCACCGTGTGCACGTTGCTCTGGAGAGTGTCGGCAGGATTTGGAGATGGCTGGGGGTCTGAGGTGGCCCAGCACTGGTTCTGGCGAGCGGGAAGGGGGGTCGGTTTCGAGGCGCTCGGTTCGATAAGGTTTTCTTTTCTCGGCCTCTGGGGGTCGCTTTCGGGCTCCGGAACCGTCACAAGGTGTCCAGGGTAAAGCTGCACCAGATGGACCCGTGGACCGATTTTGCGCGGATTTGCCTTCGTCCCCCCCTTTTGGTAGATTTCTGGGGCCCCATCCAGTTCAGATCGCCTGGCCGCCTGCAATCAGCAGGATCATCGTCAGCCTGATCTCGAAGAAGCGGGAGCGACACAAGCATGTTTTTTCGAAAGTCCGCGCGGACCTTCGACAGTTCATGCTGACCTGTCTCGGATAAGAGTTATTGCTTCTCTGTCTCCTTCTTTCAGTCCGCGCCACACATTTCCGTGTTGGCACTTGTTTTCTCGCCCACGCGCCAGACGGCATATAGCATGTAAGCGATTCAGTATGATCCGCCCCGCATTCGAAGCCGAGACGTTTGCTTTGGAGGCGGGGCTTGAATGCCCAGTCAGGGTATTGGGGAGTAGACGGCGGACCACGGCCCAGGGGCGCGTCGTCAAAAAAAGATCGACATGGAAGGCGGTGACGAGGGCGGCGGCCGTGATTGATGACGATGGTAGTGGTGGTGATGGGGATGACGGCGGCGACGATTGAAGATGTCGTGATGATTGGGATGATGATAATGATGTTGATGCTGGTGGTGGTGGTGATGATGATGATGATGATGATGAGATGATGATGATGATGATGATGATGATGATGATGATGATGATGATGATGATGATGATGATGATGATGATGATGATGATGATGATGATGATGATGATGTGAATTATATTTACCTAACAGCGAAGACTGATAGGTTTCTAATGGTCTCAAAAGAAAGCATCATGACTCCCCAGGGGGATCCGGGCAGGATCCGGGGAGAATCCGCGGAAGTCGTTTTAAGCAAACAGTTACACACTTCGTGGTCTTCGAGGTCCCAGAACTCCATTCCCGGGCCACATTCTGAATGCCCGGAGCCAACTGTAAGCCACTTCGGGCTCTTCGAGTTCCCAGAACTCCATTCCTGGGCCACATTTTGAATGCCCGGAGCCAACTGTAGGCCACTTCGTACTCTTCGAGCTCCCAGAACTCCATTCCTGGGCATGATTTTGAATGCCCGGAGCCAACTGTAGGCCACTTCGTGGTCTTCGTTTTCCCAGAACTCCACTCCTGGGCATGATTTTTTGAATGCCCGGAGCCAACTGTAGGCCACTTCGTGTTGTTCGAGTTCCCAGAACTTCATTCCCACCCCACATTTTGAATGCTGAGGCAGGCTGATGCTGAGGCTGAGGCAGGCTGAGGCTGAGGTAGGCTGAGGCTGAGGCTGAGGCTGAAGGCAGGCTGAGGCTGAGGCTGAGGCAGGCTGATGCTGAGGCAGGCTGAGGCTGAGGCTGAGGCTGATGCAGGCTGAGGCTGAGGCAGGCTGAGGCTGAGGCAGGCTGAGGCTGAGGCCGAGGCTGAAGGCAGACTGAGGCTGAGGCTGAAGCAGGCTGGCTGAGGCTGAGGCTGAGGCAGGCTGAGGCTGAGGCTGAGGCAGGCTGATGCTGAGGCAGGCTGAGGCTGAGGCTGAGGCTGATGCAGGCTGAGGCTGAGGCAGGCTGAGGCTGAGGCCGAGGCTGAAGGCAGACTGAGGCTGAGGCTGAAGCAGGCTGAGGCTGAGGCTGAGGCAGGCTGAGGCTGAGGCTGAGGCAGGCTGATGCTGACGCAGGCTGAGGCTGAGGCTGAGGCTGATGCAGGCTGATGCTGAGGCAGGCTGAGACTGAGGCCGAGGCTGAAGGCAGATTGAGGCTGAGGCTGAAGCATGATGAGGCTGAGGCAGAGGCAGGCTGAGGCTGAGGCTGAGGCAGGCTGATGCTGAGGCAGGCTGAAGCTGATTTGATGGTGGTGATGGTGATGGTGATGGTCATGGTGATGGTGATGATGATGAGGATACGGATGATGATGATGATGATGATGATGATGATGATGGTGGTGGTGGTGGTGGTGGTGGTGGTGGTGGCGGTGGTTATTGTGGTGGTGGTGGTGATGATGATGATGATGATAACGACGACGACGTCGATGATGATGATGATGATGATGATGATGATGATGATGATGATGATGATGATGTTGGCAGTGATAGTGATGATGATGATAATGGTGACGATGATGATGGCGGTGATGATGATGATGCTGCTGATGATGATGATGATTATCATGATGATGATGTGGATGATGATGATGATCATCACTATTATTATCATTGTTGTTTTAATTGTTAATGTGATCACTATTATGATAACGATGACGATGATGACGACAATGATGATGATGATGGTGGTGATGATGATGATGATTATGATGATGACCATGATGATGATAATGATGATGATGATGATGATGATGATGGTGGTGGTGGTGGTGGTGGTTGTGGTGATGATGATGATGATGATGATGATGATGATGCTGATGCTGCTGCTGCTGCTGATGATGATGATGATGATGATGACGATGCTGATTATGCTGCTGATGCTGCTGCTGATGATGCTGATACCGATGCTGATGCTGATGCTGATGATAATGATGATGCTGATGCTGCTGCTGCTGATTATGCTTATATGATGATGCGGATGATAATGATGGTGCTGCTGCTGATGATGATGATGCTGATGCTGCTGCTGCTGATGATGCTGCTGCTGATGATGATGATGATGATGATGATGATGATGATGATGTTGATGATGATGATGATGATGATGATGATGATGATGATGATGATGATGATGATGATGATGATGATGATGATGATGATGATGATGTATGGGCATGACGGTTTGGGCTGTGATGACGGTGGTAATGCTGATGGTAAGGCTGCCGATGATAACGGCACCTCGGCTGCAAGGACGCGCTTGCGGACGCGTGGCCACCGCGCAATGAGGTGAGCTTCCTGACGGGCAGTTCTCGCTGCCTGCACGCGGCAGTCCTCGCATTGTGCGAATCCACCGTTCTCCACGGGGCGCTTGCAGTATCGATGTAGCTCGAACTGTGGCTGATGGCAAACATCGACCATGACCACTGTGTAGGAACTCGCCGTCTATGAAGAATGCAGGGTGCAATGTGCGCGATGGCGGCGAGCAGGATCTTCCTGCCAGTGTAGCCACCGACCATGCTTGAAAAAGGCGGTCGTCAATCACGCCTGCAGTCGGTGCGCACGCAAGGTCCAAGCAATGGTGGTGTTGCCAATCGCCTCCTGGGCCAGAGCTATCTAGTGGCCTTCGGTCCGCTCCGACGCCGTGCCTTGGACCGATCCTTCGGCGACTCGGAGCCCTCCAGGACCGTCTTGGGGGCCCATCGGGGCCCTCTTGGCCCGCTTTGGGGCCCCCTTGGGCCCGAGCAGGCCATGCGAGAAGGCGCGCTGGGGTCGGGGGGGCGCACCCAGGGCCACATCCCGGGAGCTTCGGGTCCAGGCCCCTCCAGGCTGCTCCTTCCTGCGGGCCGAGGGCAGGACCGCAGAGGGCCCGAGGACACCCCAGCTCGTGCCTCGCGGCACCGGCGGCGGACGGCACACGGAGAGGAGGCGCCGCGGGCCGCGCACGCGTCGGGGGGGGGGCTGCCGCCCGGGGCCCGCTCGGGCACCCCGCCAGTCGAGCCAGCCCAGCGTGCAGCTCTGGCGGGGGCTCCTTGTCCTCCCTCCTCCTCCTCCTCCTCCTCCTCCTCCTCCCCTCCTCCTCCTCCTCTCTCCTCCTCCTCCTCCTCCTCCTCCTCCTCCTCCTCCTCCTCCTCCTCCTCCACCTCCTCCCCCCCCCCTCCTCCTCTTCCTTCTCCTCCTCCTCCCCCTCCTCCTCCTCCTTGGGTCTCCCAGATGGGGGCCCGAGCAGATGGGGTCCGAGGGCCGCGCCGCATCGCCGGATGCATCGCCGAGGCGGCTCGTCACCGCCCACCAAACCACCCCAACCCAACCCGAAGGTCCAAAGGTATCCTCGATTTCCAGCGGGGGGGGGGGTCGGGGAACGTTGGAAAAGCACATGGAACCCGTTCCCCCCCCCAACCCGAACTTCGGGTCGAATTCGGGTCTTCGGGGAGGGTTGGGGTGGTCTGGTAGGTAGTCAGCTCGATGTGGAGCCCGAGCTGGTCCGCGCTGGCGTCGCCGATGCACCGCCGACGTCGCCGATGCACCGCCGATGCACCGCCGATGCATCGCCGATGCACGGGCGATGCGGCGCGATCCTCCGGCCCCACCTGCCCGGACCCACCTGCCCGGACCCAACGAAGGAGGCCTCCGAGTGCAGCTCCAGCCGGGAGGCGGGCGCCCAGCCCGGCGCCCGCGCCAGCCCGAGCTGCGGAGGGCTGCCTCGCTGCGGCCCAGTGGGCCCGGAGGCCGCGCGACCGATCGGCCGCGGGCCGCGCGCGCGCCGCAGGCCGCCGACGCCGCCGTCGACGACGCCGCCGCCGACGACGACGACGACCACGATGCGTCGGCGACGACGCGACCGCGACGGCGACGGCGGCACCGACGGCCCCGCGGCGGTGCCGGCGACGACGCCCGCGGCGGCGGCGGCTGAGCGCCCGAAGACTGCAACTGCGCCGAGGCTCCGCGTCGCGCTGGGGGAGGGGGGGAAGCGGGAGGGTAGCAGGCCTGCTCGGAAGCCGCGGGGCTTGAGACCCTGGGGCTCTCCGAGGAGCCTGAAGTCGGGCAGGTCCCTCTGCAGGAGGAATCTTCAGAAGCAGTTAAAGAGTGGCGATCTTTCGAGCATTTTGTCCTGAAATACCGTTTTTTTTTTTTTTTTTTTTTTTTTGTGTGTGTGTGTGTGTGTGTGTGTGTGTGTGTGTGTGTGTGTGTGTGTGTGGGGCAAGTTTTGTTTTTCGTGCAAAGTCCGCCCGTGGGAGGACATGCCCGACCTGAGAGGAGCCGTCCCTGCTCGAGCAGCACAGCGGGAAAAGCGGCGTAAGAGCAGAGCTGCTCGGAGGTCCGCGCCCGTCCCTTGGAGCGGGGCGGGGTCCACCTCCCTGGCGCGTCGGAGGGCACCAACTATACACCAACACCGATCCTGGCCCAGGATCACCCTGGGCCCAGGATCGGTGTATATGCCTTCTTGCCCAAGGCAGGAGGGCGTATACACCGATCCTGGGCCCAGGGTGATCCTGGGCCAGGATCGGTGTTGGTGTATAGTTGGTGCCTTCCTATGGCGCGCGGAGCGCGCCAGGGGCGGCGCTGGAGGTTCCGCCAGGGGGGGCCCAGCGCGGGTCCAGGAGATCCGCGCGGACCTCCGAGACGCTATGTTTCAGAGAAGCCCTGGTGATCGTTTTCTGACGCGTTGTTCTGCCAATCTGCGCGGGCCCTCGCAACCCCCCTCCCCACCCCACCCCACGTGGAGCAGATCTTGGCTGCTTTGGGGGCCTGTTTCGAGCAGGTGGAGTCGTCCCCGTAGCACGCGCTGCTGCAAACAGTCACGTTAAGCCGAAGTCCAGAGCCAGACCCCCCCCTTCCGCCCAATGTCGAAACGCTGAATACAGTGGGGGCCCATGCCCAGAACACCCTGCTTGCCTCCAGGGTGCCCTGGGTTTCTTAGGTCTCGATGGTTCTGCCAGGGGAAGCGTGACGTTCCCGCACCAAAAAACTCCGTGGACGCCCTGGGGCCTCGGGGCTGGGTCTCTCGTGGAGGGCTTCTTGTGGACTGGCCTCCCACTGTAAGAAAACCTTCGCCCGGAACGCGCCCTGCGGGAGGCCAGAGGCCTCAACCGCGCACTCTGCGGAGGCCCGTCCCTTCGGCCGGCCTCCCCCCCGGGCGCGCTGCCGAGGAGGGCGCTCTCGGTGCGCGCGTGCCGGGGCCCCGGCGCAAGCGGGGCTCAGCCAGGGGCAACGATAGGGGGGGGGACAGGCACAGGGTCACCGAGCGCGTTCCGCTGCTCGCAAAGTGCCTACTCGCAAACGCCCGAAAGACACATGTCTGCTTCGATGTAGTTTATCGTAGATCCCGCGCGGCGGATCCAGGCCATTTGCGAGTAGCTACTCTGCGAGTAGTGGAACGCGCCTGTCTAATAGGGGGGATGCATCGACCCCCAATCGCCCATTGATCGCCGATAAGGGGCCCGGCAGCCCCAGCCTGCCCAGGAAGGTGCGGATTTATTCGCGACGGGGGCTGATGTGTGGCTGTCGGCGGGGGTGACCCCCCTTCCCGAGGTACCCTTGCACCCTTGCCTCCTCGGCCCATCCTGAACCACCGTCGATGGCAAGCCCCGCTCGAGAAGCTTCGACATGGGCGTACCAGGGGCCTGCATCCTCGCCCGGCATCCTTACGCGCCGGTCGTTGAAAGTAGGCATTGCTGGATTCCCAGATCCCCATCTACTTTAGGCTTAAGTCGGGCCTGTCCCCGCACAGGGGGGATATTCAAAAATAGTCAAAAAATAGTCAGGGGACTATTTTTTGAGTATTCTTTGGCCATTTTGTATTTGTTGGGTATTTTTTATTTTTCGTCGAAAATCCCCCTGTAGGGGGACACGCCCGACTTAACTTTGGGCGCCTTCCTACTTCCAGAATCCAGTGGCTTCCCCTCTTCCTTCCCCTTCAGGGGGCGGGCGGAAGCCCCATCTGCTCTCAACGCCTTCCCACTCCATGCCTCTCTACCCGCCTCTCCGACCGACGGCTTTAGCGCCTCCTTCCGCAGCCCACGCCCGACCCGCGCCGAGGAGGGGGACCACCCGCTGCCAGGCGGCCTCGAGTGCGAGGACCGCCCTGCGCGGCGCCCCCCCCCCGTGCGGCAGCGGCTGCGCCGAGGCCTCTCTTTGCGGCCTCTCTCTTTACGGCCCTCGGCGGCCTCTCTCTGCGGCCCTCGGAGAGTCGTGGGGAGGGGGCGGGCGGAGGAGGCGAGCCAGCAGGAGTGGGAAGGCTGGGGCCGTGGTCGAGGACGGGGTCGAGGAGGAGTGGGAGGAGAGGTACGAGGACGGGGAGGAGGAGGGAGGATGAGGAGGGTGGAGAAGGAGGGAAGGTAAGAGGGAGGAGCAGGGCGGTGGATGGGGAAAGAGAAATGAGGAGCGAGGGAGGGAAGGAGGGAGGGAGCGATGGGGAAGAGGGCGATGGTGATTAGTGTTGGTGATGATGATGCTGCTGATGATGCTGACTGGTGATGATGAGTGATGATGGTGATGATGATGAAGATGATCATGATGACGATGCTGATGATCATGATGATCAGGATCATGATGACGATTGTGGTGGTGGTGTTGATGATGATGCTTATGTCGATCATGAGGATGATGGTGCTGGTTATGACGATCATATGGCGATGGTAATGACGATGACGATGACGGTAATGACGGTGATGATGCTGCTGATGATGATGATCATGATGATGATAATGCTGACGACGAAGACAATGATACTGGCGAGGATGATGATACTGGTGAAGATAATGATACACGTGTTGGCGATGGTGCTTGTGATTCCGATGCTGACGCTGATCAGATCGATTGTCCTGATGATAAGTCAGGTGGTGACGCTTCTGCCGCTGATACTTACGAGGAGAATGGTCTGTAATGTTTAGGAGCTGGTGAGTAAGGGATAACGAGTTATGATGATGAGGACGGGCATTCTGATGACGATGATGGCGATGACGATGACGATGACGACGATGATGACGATGACGATGACGATGATGATGACTATGCCGATGCTGATGCTGATGGTTATGATGGTTATGATGATGCTGCTGATGATGATGACGATGATGATGCTGATGATGATGATGATGATGATGATGATTCGCCAAGTAGGCTTGCCCTGTAGGAATTCCTAGCTCAAACCCTACTAACTGGTCCGTTGCACCCCCCCTAATTCTCATGCCCCCCCCTAATTCCTATGGCTATGCCCATGCCAACGCCTATGCCTCCCCCCTAACTCCTATGCCTACGCCTTTGCCTATGCCTGCCTGCTTGCTTGCTCGCGCGCTTGCGCGCTTGCACGCTTGCTTGCTTGCTTGCACGCTTTCTTGCTTGCTCAGTTGAATATTCCAAACATGCTTGATTCTTCGGATTCCTTGATTTGAGCCATCTAATCTATTTGAAATCAACGCTGGCTGATATGACGATGCTGGTGATGATGATGGCGCTGCTAATGACGGTAAATATGCTGCTGCTGACGATGCTAATGATGATGATGAGGATGATGCGGATGATGATGCAACTGAAGATGACGAGGGGGGCGATGATGTTCATTGAGGAAGTAATGTAGATGATGGTGATGGTGATGATGATGTTGATGAAGATGAACATGATGGTGATGATGATGATGATGTCGCTGTCGAGGTCGATGCTACGAATGGTCTTGATGACGATACATATGACGATACCGATGGTGATGATCATGATGATGCTGCTGCTCATGATGATGCTGATGATGCTGATGATGGTGCTGATGATAGTGATGCTGATGCTGCTGATGATGGTGATGATGCAGATGAGTTTGATGATGCTGCCGATGATGCTGATGATGACCAGGAGGAGGAGGAGGGGATGGCGCTGATGGTGTGGTGGTGATGATGATGGTGATGTTGATGCTGCTGATGGTGATTCCTATGATGATGGTGATGGTGATGAGGATTATCATGATGATGATGCTGATGACGATGATGATGACGACGATGATGTGGGTGACGACGATGCTGATGATGATGATGATGATGATGATGATGATGATGATAATGCTGCTGCTGACGATTATGATGATGAGGATCACGAGGATCACGATGCTGATGCTGATGAGGATGATGTTGCTGATGGTGGTAGTGGTGATGGTGATGATGATGGTGATGATGATGAGGATGATGATGATGATGCTGAAGATGATGATGATGATGACGATGCTTTGGATGATGATGCCAATGATGACGATGGCGACGTCGATCACCATTACGATGACGATGATGATGACGATGACGATGACGATGACGATGATGATGATGATGATGATGATGATGATGATGATGGTGGTGGTGGTGGTGGTGGTGGTGGTGATGATACTTATAATGTGATGATGATGATGATGATGAGGAGGAGGATGATGATGATGATGATGATGCTGCTGCTGATGATGATGATGAGGATGCCGATGAGCTGATGATGATAATGATAAGGATGATATGGAGGATGAGGATGAGGACGATGAGGAGGAGGAGGAGGATGACGACGACGATGATGATGCTGCTGCTTAGGAGGGGGAGGAGGAGGAGGAGGAGGAGGAGGAGGAGGAGGAGGGTGGAGCTTTGGAGCAGGAGGAGGAGGAGGAGAAGGAGGAGGAGGAGCAGGAGGAGGAGGAGGAGCAGGATGAGGATGAGGAGGAGGAGAGAAAGACTGAGGATGAGATGGGAGAGGGTCGAGCGGAGGGGAGCGGGGGGAGGAGTGAGGGTGGCTGGACGGGGGTTGGGGTCGAGGTGCGACGCGGCGCGCTGCGCCCCCCCCGAGGCCAAGGACGTGGCGTGGCCTCCTGCTGGCGCGGTCCACAGCGACCGCGCGAAGGGCTGGATGACGTGCGCCGCCCGCCCCTCCGCTCGGCTGGGCCCCTCAGGTGTTCTCAAAACACTTGGCGGGCCCCTCGGCTTGGCCTCCTCCTCCTCCTCATCCTCCTCCTCCCCCTCGGCTTGGCCGGCCCCTCAGCCCGCCCCTCGGCTTGGCAGGCCCCTCAGATGTTCAAAAAAACGCCGGGGGCGTTTTCAACAACATCTGAGGGTTCCCGTTTCCCAGCGGGTGTCGTTTTTGTTCAGTTTTGGGTTGTTTTGTTGTTGTTGCTGTTACTGTTGCTGTTGCTGTTGCTGTTTGCTCTTGTTGTTGTTGTCGTCGTTGTTGTTGCCCTTATTGTTGTTGTTGCTGCTGTTCCTGTTGCTGTTGCTGTTGCGGTTGTTGCTAAGGCTGTTGCTGCTGTTGTTGTTGCTGCTGCTGTTGCTGTTGTTGCTGTTGCTGTTGTTGCTGTTGTTGTTATCGTTGCTGCTGCTGCTGCTGTTGTTGTTGTTGTTGTTGTTGAACATTATTAATTCTAAAGAATAATTATTGTTGGGACCCCTGGTGCACGGCCCCCCTGCGCCGCCTAGGCCGCAGCTACATTTTCATCATTTTCGTGAGGAAGCCTCAGGTAATTCGATGTGATCAAGATCCGGTTGTTTTGTTCCCCCCCGCTTTCCCTTGCAAAAAACACTATAAAATGACATTTCTTGTTCTAATATAATCAAATTTCAAGAATCCCTTGCAAAAAATAAGGTAAAGTGGACATTCGCGCGCGCAAGACGAAATCCTTCCAAAAGCTTAGTGTTCGGAGCGATTTTAACATAAAAACATCAAAAAACCAATGGTTTTTCAACAAAAAAATGTCAAAATCTCATCCCGCGCGCTCTTGCGGATTCGTAGGAAACCCAACACTTTTTAAACATTTCTGTCAAACGGGCTTTTGCGAGCAACTTTTTCGAACTTCTGCGACAACGGTTGCGCACCTGCCAGGGCCATCATCCCTGTCAAATAATACCATGCGGGACACATTCGTTTTTTGCGCGCGCACGCCGAAATCTCCAAAAACCATTGGGTCCTCGAAAAACACCTGCACGTCTTCCCTTGCGAGTACGTATCATGTGTATCATGTGTATCATGTACCATATGCATCATATGCAACAGATGTTCTGTGGAAGGCTTAACAACTTCTGTGGGTTAACAAGGCTTAACAACTTCTGTGGGTGTACGAACGTAGGCTTAACAACTTCTGTGGGTGTGTACTCCACGCCAGTGTAGTAGCCACGGTCGTCCGCAGGCCACGAAGTGAAGTGTCCGAACGTCATAGGGCGGGAAGCTGGGTGTGGGTGGTGGCGAAGAGTCGTGTGGATATTTGGTAGAGCTTGCACTGCCCCCCACAAAGTGGGGGTATTGGCTGGCGTCGCATGAAAACCCTGGCACTGGTGAGAACACTGAGCGTTCGGGTAAAGTGATTGTTGTTGTTGTTGTTATTGTTGTTGTTAGTGCTGTTGTTGTTATTGTTGCTGCTGTTGCTGTTGTTGTTGTTGTTGTTGTTGCTGTTGTTGTTGTTGTCGTTGTTGTTGTTGTTGTTATTGCTGTTGTTGCTGTTGTTGCTGCTGGTGCATATATTGTTGTTGTGGCTATTGGTTGTGGTTGTTGTTGTTGTTGTTGTTGTGGTTGTTGATTTTCTTGTTGTTCTTAGTGCTGTTTTGGATTGTGTTTTGTTGTTGCTGCTGTTGTTTAGGTTTTTTGTTCGTGTGTTGTGCTGTGTTGTGTTGTGTGTTTGTGATTCGGATGTGTTGATCGACTGCAGCACGAACAGTTGGAAACGGGGGGAAAGCCTAGCTTTTCAAAACACTGATCTCTTCGTCGACACGTGCAAGTGACCCTTTGCAGGAGTGGGCCATGGTGCGGGCCCACCAGGGGTCCCCTGATCGCCGAGCGGGTGCGATAGCAGCGTCTCGCGCGATCGGGGCTTGCGTCTCCCGCGGCCCCCCACCACGCCGCGCACCGACGGCCACTCCTGCCCAGAGCCACTCCTGCGCGTACGGTGGGTTCGCGTCGTGTCGACCGGCGGCGGCCCCGCCGCGGGCGTTCACGATGGAGCGCCGCCAGTGGCCCAGAGATCGGCGATCGACATGGAACGATCGACAGGCCGCCGATCGGCCGCCGATCGGCCGAGGTTGCCCTGGTCAGGGCGTCGGAGCCCAGGACACGAGGCAGGCCGGGGCTCTGCCGGGCCGCCGAGCCTCCGCGCCTCCGGCGCAGCCCCCGACCTCCCGAGGGCGGCGGCCTGGGCACGCGCTGCCGTCGCCGCCAGCGCAGGGGCAGTGGTGACTTCGAGTCCGCCTGCTGCGAAGGCCGCGGCTCTGCCCAGCTCTGCGCCTGCGTATGCGCTGCTCGAGCTGGACCCCCATCAGCGAGCGACCTTCGGGCACCGGTGCGGAGCCTGCTGGAGCAGACCAGGGTCTTGCCAGATCGAGCGGGAGAGAACACGACGGCTTGAAGAATGTTCCGACCCGCGCCTGCAGTTTTCACGGGCGCGCGTCGACGTCCTGGTTCATCGGGGTCCCCGTCCACGGGGCCCGGAGACTTGCCTCGGAGGCTCCGCCCTCGGTCCTGCTTCCTCTCCTCTCGGGTCGGTCACGTCGGACGAGAGGGGAGGGATACGAAGCCTGCTGAATGTAGCCAGTTTCGGCCCCACCGCTGGGCGCCATGGTCGCATTCGGTGCCAGGAGGCGCCCGGACCAGCTGCGTGAGCTGGTTCGCTCCTCGCCCCCACCCCTTTTCTAACTGACCCCCCCTTGCCCCCCTTTCGTCCGACGCGACCCTCCTCCTCCCCCCCCCTACTCGGGAGGAGGTGGAGGAAGAACTCTCCCTGGCCGTTCTGAGGCCCGAGGGTCTTTGCAATCGCGATTTCTCCAGAAAGGCACGCGATGGCGAGCCGTACCGTGCAACCATTTCTCGCCTTAGCAGCCCCTGCTCTTTCGTCACTTCTCAGGTGCTGCCATGGCGGTCCAGCAGGCTCCTGGCGGGGCTGCTGGTTCTAGCGGGCTGGCTGGTCGCTGGCGTCGCTCCCAGCGCGCCCAGCTCTTCCACTTGCCGCTTCTCCCAGGGCTTGTACCTCCCCTCCCGAAGGTTCCGTTCCTGGTGAAGGTGGCGGAGGCAGGCCGGCCCAGCAGCAGTCCTGGACCTGCGGCAAGTGCGGTTGCAAGCGGGACAAGCTTTCCTGGCAGTGGTGCAAACATTGCAAGACTCCGTGGAAGGAATGTTTCCAATATGGCCATTCTGGTGCTCCCCCTTCATCTTCGGCAGGAGGAGGGGGTGCTGGTCTCCTGGCGGATGCTGTGCCTGCCCAGCCGTCCAAGGGCATCGCATCGCTCACCGCCAGTGGGGAATGATTCCATGATAGGGTGATGATGGCGTTGATGTTATTGTTGTTGTCGATGCTGATCCTGATGATGCTGATGCTGATGCGGATGATGAGGATGATGATGCTGATGGTGATGATGCTGATGATGATGTTGTCGATGATGATGATGAGGATGCTGACGATGCTGATGACGATGATGATGTTGATGGTGTTATTGGTGCTGATGCTGATGAGGCCGACGATGTTGGTGACAATGGCGTAGATGATGCTGCTGATGATGATGCTGATGCTGATGCCGATTATGATGATGATGCTGTTGATGATGATGGTGTCGATGACAATGAACATGGTGGTGATGGCGGCGACGATGATTAGGATGATGATGATGTCGGTGATGCTGCTATGATGCTGCTGCTGATGGTGATGATTTTGATCACGCTGGTGATGGCGATGATGCTGCTGATGATGGTGATGCTGATACTGATGATGATGTTGACGACGATGCTGGTAGTGGTGATCATGATGATGCTGATGATGATGGCAGTGCTGCTAGGATTGATGACGGTTTTGATGGTGATGATTGTGAAGCCAATGATTACGACGATGGTAATGTTGTTGCTACTGATGGTGCTGCTGCGTATGATAACACTGCCGACTAATATACGGACACGGCAAACGATGATGATGATGATGATGATGATGATGATGATGATGATGATGATGGTGGTGGTGGTGGTGGTGGTGGTGGTGGTGGTGGTGATGATGATGATGATGATGATGATGAGGTTCATGTTGCTTATGATGAATCTGCTGTCGATGCTATTGTTGTTGATGGTGCTGGTGGTACTGTTGACGATGCTGCTGACGAAGATGCTTGTGATGCTAATGTTGATTTGGTTGCGGTGGGTGAAGATGCTGATGATGGTGATGATGCTGCCGCTGATGCTGATGCTGATGCTGATGCCGATGCCGATGACGATGATTATGATGATGATGATGATGATGATGATGATGATGATGATGATGATGATGATGCTGATTATGATGATGATGATGATGCTGATAAGAATGATGATGATGATAATGATGATGCTGATGCTGATTATGATGATGCTGATGTTCACGATGCCGATGATGATGGTAATGATGATGATGCTGCTGCTGCTGATGCTGATGCTGATGCTGATGCTGATGATGATGCTGATGCTGATGCTGATGCTGCTGATGATGATGATGATGATGCTGATGATGATGATTATGATGATGATGATGATGATGATGATGATGATGATGATGATGGTGGTGGTGATGATGATGATGATGATGGTATGCCTTGCATTCTGATGTCGGTGAGGGTGTTGATGACGATGCTGATGATGAGGGCGGGAAGCTCCGATTCGCGTGCCCGCGAGCAGCTCCCCCTGGCGTTCTCTGGGGCAGACCGAGGCTGCCCGCGCGGCCGCGCGGTGGCGACGACTCCGAGTGTGCGCGGCCCGGTGGGGGGGATGATGCAAGGGTGCCCCTGACGGCGCGAAGTTGTTCGCGCTTCGTGCTTCGTGGTTCGGCTCCGATCCCTCCTCGTCCTCCTCTTCTCCCCTTGGGGGCGGCGCGACAGCGCGAAGTTATTCGCGCTTCGCAAAGCGCGAAGCGCGAAGTTAGGCGCTCTTGAGGTGGAGGGTGAGGGGAGGACCCTCTCCCCCCATCGCGACGGCGCGCCCGCGCAGCTCCTGGGCGGGCGACTCCGCTTCCGCCTACCACGTGGAGGCCCCGGCGCGCCTCTGGCGCTGGACGTCGGGTCGCCGCCGCCGCCGCCGTCGTCGTCGTCGTCGTTTTCTTCGTCGTCGTCGTCGTTGTCCGAGGATCGAGGATCGACGTTTTTGGTCGAGCCTTGTCGGGGGAGACCTCTTGACGTCGTCGTCGTCGTCGTCGTCATCGTCGTCGGCGGCGGCGGCGGCGGAGGCGGCGGTGCGGCTGGGGATGGGGAGGAGGAGGGGAGGGGTCGGGGAGAAGGGGGAGGAGGAGAAGGAGGAGGAGGAAGAGGAGGACCAGTGTAAACCCAAGAGTCATCAACGATGTTGGAATTAATCCTCCCTCCAAGCTCCGTCTTCATAGGCCCCTACAACGGTTAATTTCCATCGAGAGAACTGCCTCGTTGGAAGACAACCGTTTGAAGATCCTGAAGCATGTCAAAACATTGTTCTCGGGATTTCACCGCCACGTGTCAACTTGATTGCTGCGTCTTGACGATCCGCAATCGTGCCAGAACGCCGTTTCCGGGAGTTCAACGGGAGTTCAACACCGCGAGTTTGGCGCGACCGACGCGGCCGTAGCGGCGCTGACCGCTGAAAACTTCCCCGCGCGTTTCGAAGGCCGCGCTGACGCGCGGGAATTTGCAGTGCGAGTCGGTGACTCTGGCGGGCGCAGTCGGAGGTTGGGGGGTGAGATCGCAGTGAAACGGAGACCCCCAACCAGGAAGTCGTTTCGTTTCGCTCGTGTCGTGCGTGCGGGAGAAGCGAAGCTGCGTGGGCGCGCGAGAGGAATGAACCCGCCGTTGCTAGGGCGCAGTCAAGACAAATGATTCTCCCCCTCCCGCCCGTCCGGCGGTGGCTCGCGGTGTCCCGCGGTGTCCGGTGGTGCCCGCCGTTGCTAGGGCGAAGTCGAGACAGATGATTCTCCCCCTCCCGCCCGTCCGGCGGTGGCCCGCGGTGTCCCGTGGTGTCCCGTGGTGTCCCGTGGTGTCCCGTGGTGCCCGCCGTTGCTAGGGCGAAGTCAAGACAAATGATTCTCCCCCTCCCGCCCGTCCGGCGGTGGCTCGCGGTGTCCCGCGGTGTCCCGCGGTGTCCCGAGGTGTCCCGTGGTGTCCCGTGGTGTCCGCCGTTGCTAGGGCGAAGTCGTCAAGACAAATGATTCCCCCCCTCTCGCCCGTCCGTTCGTCCGTCCGGCGGTGGCTCGCGGGCGGAGGCTCGCGGTGTCCCGTGGTGTCCCGTGGTGTCCCGTGGTGTCCCGTAGTGTCCAGTGGTGTCCCGTTGAGTGAGATGGATAGTGGGATGGATAGTGAGATGGATAATGAGATCGATAGTGAGATTGATACTGAGATCGATACTGAGATCGATGTGGTGCCCCGAGGTGTTCCGTGGTGTCCCGTGGTATCCCAAAAAGTGAGATCGATATTGAGATCGATAGTGAGATTGACAAGTGTCCCGTGGTGTCCCGTGGTGTCCCGTGGTGTCCCGTTGAGTGAAATCGATTGTGAGATCGATAGTGAGATCGATACTGAGATCGATGTGGTGCCCCGAGGTGTCCCGTGGTATCCCAAAAAGTGAGATCGATATGTGCCCCGTGGTATCCCGTGGTGTCCCGTGGTGTCTCGTTGAGGGAGATCGATAGTGAGATCGATACTGAGATCGATACTGAGATCGATGTGGTGCCCCGTGGTGTCCCGTGGTGTCCCGTGGTATCCCGTGGTGTCCTATGGTGTCCCGTTGAGTGAGATCGATAGTGAGATCGATCGTGATACCGATAGTGAGACCGACAGTGAGGTCGAGAGGTGTCCCGCGGTGTCCCGTGGTGTCCCGTGGTGTCCCGTTGAGTGAGATCGATAGTGAGATCGATAGCGAGATCGACAAGTGTCCCGTGGTGTCCCGTGGTGTCCCGTTGAGTGAGATCGATGGTGAGATCGATGGAGTCAGATGTTGGCTCGCCCCCCTCCCCCCTCCCACAACCTCCTCATCACCCGAAGGGTGGTCGTATAGCTATCATGGCGACGTCGGCAACGGCAGACACGATGATGATAGTACCGATGCTAATGTCGGCGGCGAGCGAGGGGGGGAAGTGAGAAGGAGAAGGCCTTCTCAGAAGGCTCGGAAGTCCGCCGGCCTTCTGAGAAGTTTTCTAAGCCTTCCCCGACGACGGAAAAAAACTTCTCAGAGGGCGCGAGGGCTTCTGAGAAGTCCCGCCGCCTTCTGAGAAGACCTTCTCCTTCTCATTTCCCCCCTTCGCTCGCCGCCAATGATGGCGACAATGGCGATGACGACGGCACGGTCCATGGTCGGCCCGGTGGCGATGACGGTGTCCGCGTGTCTTCGTCGTGCGCGCGCGGCCGATGGGCGCGGGTGGCCCGCCTGGTATCATTCGACGAGGTATCGTGCCCTCCCAGTGCTGTTTCCTCCTCGCCCTCTTCCTCGCTTTCGTCCTCCTCCCCTCGTCGTCCTCCCCCCCCCTTCGCCGCCGCCGTCGTCGCTGTCGGTGTCTGCACGGCGTCTTCTTGTTTCGCAGCCGCGCCTCCGGCAGCGGAACCTGCTGTTTCACTTATTTGCCAACGCACCTCTGACGTGCACGGCGCTTCTCTCTCTCAGCACGCGTGCGTGGGCGTTCGAATGCTGTCGGCATGCGCGCGCGAGAGGCGCGTTTGGGTGCGTTTGATGAGCTCGGAGGCGAACAAATGGTTTTTCAGGAGTTGTCAAGAGCGCGCACAGACTTCTTCTGAACATTTGCAGTGCGAGCCCCACTTTGTGCGAAAGAATCCAGGACATTCGTTTTTGCAATCCCCACGCAATTCGGTCTATTTTCTATGGGTTTCGGCATGAGCGCCTGACGGCGCGCTCGTGTTGTTGTTTTTGGAGGGGTTTTTGGAATTTGCGGATGGTTGATCATCGAGTGTTCGTGCATTGTATTATGTGATGTTGATGATGATGGGGCGTGTCGAACCCGGTGCGGTTGGGGCTGTATGTGATCAATCATTTTTGCAATGAGCTATGGGGCAGGATCACATGTAAACTGCACATCTCTAGGGTGAATGGAAACTCGAGCCTCGTGGTACAATCTATGTTGCGCAAGCTGGGCGGCGACTGGGAGGCGACGGGGCGGCGACGGGCGGCGACGGCGACAACGTAGCCGCCAGAGCGTCTCCCGGCCCAGAAGACGGGCGGCGACGAGGCGGCGACGGGGCGGCCACGGCAACAACGTAGCCGCCAGAGTGGCGCATCGGCCGGGACGACGGGTTCCAAAGAGGCGGCGGCGGGGCGGTGATGGCGACACCACAGCCGCCAGATCGGTATACCGCCGAGACGACGGGCGACGACGAGGCGACGAAGGGGCGGCAGCATGGCCGACAGAGTGGCACACCCGCTCGGTTGAATCAGAAAATTGGAACCACTACGTGCAAACACTGCTTGGGGAACTGACGATTCTGGCCTCCCGGGGCCCTGTTGGGAAGGATCTTTGGGGTCTCGGGGGTCGTCTCGAAGGTCTCTTCGGCCGTCTTGGGGCCGTCTTGGGCGTGGGCGTCTTGGGAAGCTGTGGGGCCGTCTCGGAGGCTTCTTTGAACCTCAGGGCCGTCCTGGCCCGTTTTGGGGCCTCCCCGGTGGGGGCACCGCCCCAGAGGCTTCCGTGGATACATGCATGCATGCATACGTACATACATACGTACCTACATACATACATACAAACACACATACACACATACTTACATATACACATGCATACATGCATGCATGCATACATACGTACGTACGTACATACATACACACATACGTACGTACGTACGTACGTAAGTAGTACCATCCATCCATCCATCCATCCATCCGTCCATCCATCCATCCATCCATCCATCCATCCATCCATCCATCCATACGGACATACATACATACATACATACATACATACATACAAACATACACATATCCATATACACATACACATACATACATACATACATACATACATACATGCATGCATACATACATACATACATACATACATACACACATACAACCATACACACATACATACATACATACATACAGACAGACAGACAGACAGACAGACAGACAGACAGACAGACAGACAGACAGACATACACACATACATACACACATACACATACAAACACATGCACACATACACACATAAACATACATACATGCATCCATACATACATTCATGCATGCATGAATGCATTCATGCATGCATACATGCAGGCATGCATACATACTAACATGTATGCATGTATATACATGTATATATGTCTGTCAAACAAAGGTCTGGGTCGTATGGATGTGTGCCGAGTATGTATGTTCGAAATCAACAGGTGAGGGTTCGGTCGTGTGGATGCGATCAGACCTGTACTTTTAGCACATGATTGTGCGGGTTGGGTCGGATGGATGTGAACCGAATAGTTTTTGGTGGCATAGGATGGGGGGTGGTGGGTCGTATGGATGTGCGCGGCGCTGAGGCGAGAGCCACATTCTGAAAACGTACCGGCCTCTATCCTTGAGCTTGCTGCAAGTTCTTATGACGGATGCGCACGGCGCTGAGGCGAGAGCCAAATTTTGAAAATCACCTGGGCTCCATACTTTGAGAAGCTGCTGCAAGTTTTCAGAACGAATGTGCTCGGCGCCAAGGCGAGAGCCACATTTTGAAAATTGTTGACGCTTCGCGAATCCCTACCAGCCCATCCAGAAACGATGCCCAGAGGAATTGCCTCGATCAGGGAAGTGGGCAGCACACAGAGGAAGCCATGATGAGACATCTTGGGATATCTTGAGCCATCTTGGAGGTCAGTTTGGGCTATCCCAGGCGCTCTTGATCTTAATCAGAGCCCCCCCAAAGAGGCCAACATGTGGCTAAAACCTTCGTCAAATCAATGATTTGGCATTCTCGCCGAGGCCTCTTGGAACATCTTGGGTGCCTCTGGGGGGTCTCTTGGGGCCTCTTGGGGGCCTCTTGGGGCCATCTTGGGGCCATCTTGGGACCTCTTGGGGCCT